GTCGGGCCCCTATCGGCGATGAATGGGCGACTGGGGGTCGATGCATCCCCCCTATAAGGAGAGAAAACGCCACAAACATAAACTGTTGGCGCTCCGCGCGGATTTCTTGGATCTGAGCTGGACCCCCCTCCCTGGCGCGCAGAGCGCGCCTGGGGCCGCGCCAGAGGCGCCGCCGAGGGGGCCCAGCGCGGATCCAAGAAATCCGCGCGGAGCGCCACAAGCTTATGTTCATGGCGTTTCTTTTTCTTCGACCTACGCCTATCCCCCCTTATCGTTGTGGATGCCACGACAACGCACACCCTAACAGTCCTATCATTGAATTTAAAATGTGTTTAAGATGTCCGAACAATGTTCGAAACATGCTTCGACCATGCTTTCACAGGTGTAAAACAAGTGTAAACATGTTTAGGACACCTGTAACTTATTTTGGCGACGTGGCTCCTCTCCACCGACGTCCTCCACAGCCCTGTCGCTGCCCCTGACGTCCCCCAGGCCCGTCGGGGCCTGCGGCGGCCTGCGGCGGCCGCCGCCCTCTCCCGCGCGCGCGCCGGCGGGACGCGGTCGAGGCCGCCGCATACCCGCGGCAGCGGGCTCCGCCGCCCGAGGTGCTGCGGCCACGGACGGCCGCGCGGAGTGGCCGGCCGGCCCTCCGGCCCCCCAGAGGTCCCACGCACGGAACAGGAGTTCAGGACGGAGGTTTGTCGCCCCGCCTCGGGGGGGCCCGCCTCGGAGGGGGGAGGAGGAGGTACGCTTGGCTCGGGCGTGTCCGTCGTCTACAGGAGGCATGTTCGAGACGAGTTCCCAGAGATCCAACGAAATGAACAAAAACAAGACGGAGGTTTTTCGCGGTGTTCGGCCTCCGCGGGCCCTCGCGGGGCCCCGGGGCCGGCAGGAAGCGATGCAGGATGAAAAAAGCCGGCCCTGGGGGATGGGTCGAGACTTCGGGGGGCCGCGCATTGAACAAATCTGCCCTCGCAGTTCCGTCAGTTAGAGCGCGCTGGCGTGGACCAGCGCCTGGTGGCCGATGGGCGAGCGCCGATGCAGCGTCGACCTCGGCGGTTCCAAGGCGGGGTCCTGAGAGATGGGGTCCTAAAGGCAGGGAGGGGTCTCTCTTGTTGATCTCGTCGGGTTTACTCGCGAGAGTTGTGTAATGTCGTCGATATTGATATCAACTGAAACGTGGCGATGGAAAAGGTAACGCTTCTCCCAAAACAAAGTTGGGCTCGTTCACGAGCCGAATCAATATTGATATGAAACCGCGCACAGAAAGCTCGAGCACTGAATATAGTCACGGAATCGGATAAAAGGTTTCCCCGAAACGTTCAAACGTTACCGGATCGGTGGTTCCTAATGCACCGTGGAACTATCCCTTGGAAATCCGATTTCTACGACAGGGTCCAAGGGTGAGTTTACATTGTTTGAGGCACCTCGTCAAGACCCATCCCTCAGGACCCCATCCTTGAACCACCGACGATCGGCGTCATCGGCGCCGGTCTGGCGCCGATCGGCGCCGCTGAAGCGTCGGCGCCGCGCCGGTTCGCCAGAGCCGACACGATGGTGTCGGAGGCTCTTGCGAACGGACAGGGGCCAGCCGTAAGTCGGGCGTTTCCCTCTACAGGGGGATCTTCGGCGAAAAATGAGAAATACTCAAAAAATGTTCCCAAATGGTCAACAAATGCTAAAAACATTGTCTCCAGACTATTTTCCTGCCTATTTTTGATTATTCCCCCTGCAGAGGAACAGGCTCGACTTACGGCCAGTCGAGCCGGGGTGGCCTCCGCATCTCCGGCGGCCATCGAGGTCTGTCGCGCTCCTCGGCGGCAGGACCGCCCGCTGCCCCAGCAGCGTGGAGCGGGCCGCCCTCCGGGCTGCGTGGGGCGCTGCTCCTGGGCCGTCGAGGCGGGGTCGCCTTCGGTGCCGTGTTGGAGCAGCCCCGCGCGCGGCGCCGACCTTTCGCCCGACTGGTTGGCCACAAGACGACAGGAACGAGATAGGATGCATCGGGTACGATTGAATGTGGAATCCCGCAGATCCAGCAAGTCTGGAGCATGTGTCGGGCGCCGCCGGTCGATCCCAAGAATCCAGGGCGCTCCGACACGGCTGAGGTGAGAACCACTTGTTGGCATCGGTCCATTTGTGGATGTCATGACAATGGACACTCTAAAAATCCTATCATTGAATTAAAGATGTGTTTAACATGTGTCAAGCATGTTCTAAACATGTTTCAAACATGTATTCAACACGCTTAAAACATATTTGAAACATCCGTTAGACATCTGGAAATTATTTGGCAGCATGTGTCCTCTCCGTTAGTCGACTTCCACAACGGTATCCGAGCCCCAAAGGCGGCCTGTGCTGAAGCCGTGCAACGCGGGATAGCCAAGGCTCGCGCGGACGAAACGATTCCGCAAATTCACAGGCCGTCAGGCCAGCTGCCGGCTCTCTCCTGCGCGTTTAGGACAAAGTCTGTATCGCGGTTGGACTTTCCAGGTCCTGGGTCCTCCCTCCTACTGCGACGCCTCCTCCTCCTCCTCCTGATGACTTCCTCCTCCTTATTCCTCCATCTCACAAACCCTCCTGCTCAAAATCACGTACCTCTCCTGAACCTCGTTCTCCGTATCTGCCTGGAGCCTCTTCCTCATCTTTCTCATCGTCCTTGATTGCCACTCCCTCCCCGCTTCTCGTTCTCTTTTTGTTGTTTGTTCGAACAACGTTGACCGCAGGGTCGCGCTACATAATAAAACAACACACAAATCCGAGCACGACGTAACAGAAGTGCAACACCTGGCAATCACGCAGGGAAAAACGGCTGGCAAAGAGATAGGGAAAACAGTGGGTAGCCTAGGCAGGCGTCTAGAGGCAGTGCTTGCGATAACGTGTGGCTTTGGAGGGTAGCACCGAATGAAGCTACGTGATCCAGAGGAAGGATAGCTGTGCGGAATGAACGAAACACCAGCATAGCGACGGCATCCGCGAGATGTGTTAGGCTGGTGAACAGCTGCGAGAGAAGATAATTAACGGTAACGTGATGAGTACGATGTAGGTGCGCACTCGCGGTACAGTCAGCACCGCAGTGTACAGAGTGCTGGTACACCGAGGAGGGGTTATCCCGAGCACGCCAGCCATGCATTATAAAAGTGTTGCCTGTGCAAGGCTGCTTCGTTGCGAATGTGGGGCAACTGTGAAGTAATCCCACATGCCATCTGGGAGTGGGTCGGTGAGGGGATTTCCCCTGCCATCGTCCCTCTTCCCCTTTGGAGAAGGGTTTAACCTCCCGCTCCCGCTTCCCCCTTGGTCTGGACGGGGGGGTTCGCGACGCGTTGGAGCGTCCAGGATGGCCGCTGCGAGGAAGCGCAATCATTGAGTTTACTGAAGATTTGGCCACATGTTGGCCTCCTCGGGGGGGGGAGTAATAATTGAGGGGCCTTCGTTATTTGATCGATCACCTCCAAGGTGGCCGCACTATGGCCCCCGACGCTCCCAAGAGTGCCTCGAGGGGGCCCCAAGAGGCCCCAAGGAGCTTCCAAGAGGTCCCCAAGAGGCCCCAAAGAAACCCCCACAAGCTCTTTGAGGCTCCTCGTGGGCACCCAAGGCGCACCCAGATGCCCCCCTGGGCCGTCAAGAGCCTCCCAAGACGCCCCACGAGGACCTCAAGAAGCTCTCGAGAGACATCCGAAGAGACTCCGAATAGAGGCAAGATCCGTACAACGACTGAGCGTCGTGAAGCATGTGCAAGGGCAAGAATGTGTCCTTGCAATGGCTGTCCAAGCTGGCGCTTACCTGAATGATGCTGTGCAAGGTCTGGTGGCTGGCGGTGCGCAGTTTTGCGTGCAGCTGCTGAACTGTGCTCGTGGGCTGGCGCTGGCTAGGCCACTAGTTGTCATCGGCAAAATAAGCTGTACCGAATTGAATTCCCACTGCGACTCCCGAAGTCTACTTTGTCGTGGGCAATGTGGCACGCAAGAAAACATCCAACTGGCCTAGCCTCAGCTGGGCCAAATTCAGTCGGTGGCGGGCTGGGCCGACGCATTGCACGGCGAGTGAGAACGAAACTGCTCGGCCGAACGAGGCCTGGATGCGGTTACCCGCTAGAGGCAAGGCCACCAACAACTGCCATCGCTTCGAGCAGGCTGCCGCAGGTATTCGGCGCGTGCGGGCTGTGCTGGCGAACGGGAAGTGCAGCCTGTAGTGAGACTGACTATACACAACGGGGGCACGGCGACCCCAGTCCTCGACTCTGCCGGCTTTTCGACTGGGCGCACAATTTTGGGCCCAGCACGGGGATAAACGACGGGGGGGCGGAGCGTCCATCCTCGATCGGGGTGCGCCCAGAGAACTTCACCCGCCCCATCCCTCCCAAGGTGTGTCCCCAAGTTGCCCTCCTTTTCTGAGCGGCCTGATTGTTCGCGGGGACAGGGGAGGGAACTCGGGGACTGGGAGCGAAACATGGCCTGCGAATCCACATCGCAGTTGCCGCTGTGCGCCCCCCCCGCGTAATCCATGCCCACACCACCTGCCGAGGCGGGTCGGGCGCGACCCTCTCCCTGCCAGCGCACGGAAGAGCCTGCAGTGTGTGTTGCTGCGGCCTGATATCTGTGGAGGGAGTGAACACGAGCGAACAGCAGGAGTGCGGGCAGTCATTGCCACTGCAAGGCCAATTCGCCTCAAGCGGCGCCTCCACCGGGCCACCCCGAGACACCACCGCGCCCCAGAGGAGGAGGCGGGAGAAGGGGAGGAGGCAGAGCATAGGAGGGGGGGCGAGGGTGCTGTCGTCTGATGAGATTGTGGCTGGCGTGTGCGGTGAATAGGCCCAAGTGCGAGTGAGAGCAAGGCATGGAGGGTAGCAGCCTTCGCGAAAGCACCATCCTCCACTCCACCCCTGCCTCCAAATCCTTCCCTCTCCGCCCTTTCTCCTCCCCCCGACCCCTCCCACCCCCATACCCACCTTGCCCGCTTCCTCCAGCTAGCCGTCCCTGTCACTGTCGCTGGCGGGCGCAGTCCTCTTTTGCACCTCGGCCAAATTGCGCCGCGTCTTCTCCGCCCGCACTTTCCGCTTCAGGCGGCCCTCGAGCATGTCCTGGTAGGACTGCAAGTACTTGCCGTGAACTTTCGCCTCCCGGGCGTGGGAGGTCGCAACAGCCCCCTAGAAACGAACGCACGGCTGTTTTCGGGCGCTGACCGTTTCCGTGCTTCCCTGGACCTAAACACTGCCACCGCGTGCCGCTGGGACCCAAGGTGTGCTGAAACACACCGGAGGGCCCTTCACCAGACCGAGTGTGCTGACTCGCTGAAACACAATCGCGGCTGATTATGCTGGTCTTGGGGTGGCGATCTTCAAAGCCGGAGCCTCCAGCTGGTCCCACAAGTTCCCGCTCTGCACCACGTACGAGTCCTCCGACTGTTGCAGGCCGCTCAGCATGGTCTGCAATTCCCTCAGCTCGCCTGTCAGAGTCTTGATCCGTGCCTGTTTCTCCTCGTCCATGACCCGCACCTTCTCCTCATAAATGATGATTTTGTCTTGGCGCAGCCTCGCCTGGTAATGCAGCTCCTGCATCTCTCTCGCGGCGTTCAAACGCTTGGTCTGCAGGGCTCCAATCGTAGATTTCGCTTTGCCTATGTCGTCGCGGATTGTCGTATGGTCTTCCTTGAAAGCTTGTGCTACCGCAGATCCCATGCGACTAGATTCAATTCTCACCAAGCGCTTGTAGTCTGCGTATAGCTTGTCGGTTTCCTTTTTTCGTTCCTTCACCCATAGATCCATCATGTCACTCTTCTGCTGCTCTTCTCGTAGTACTTGCTCTTGCATACTGGAGCTCGTGGACTCCTTCAGAATGGCGACGAGGGCTTGCCGAACTTCTTCTGACTTGACGGAACACTGTCCATGCAATATGTCGCGAACGTCTTTGAAGAAATCGTCACGGTCATCGAGGCTTTGGACCGTACGCTTGTAGCTGGCCGTGTTCATGGCCCGATCGAAACGCGCTATCAAAGAGGCCATTCTATCGGTTACAATTTTACTCTTGTTGAATATAATCAAGCCCTGGACCTTCTCCAAGGCTCTCATGATCCCCTTCTTTTTGCCATGCAGTGCCATTCTGCCTGCATACTTGGTCCTACACACGGCAAACAACAATCCTGACCGAACCTCCTCCCACTTGACCCATGGTGGAGGACGGGCAGTAGCAACAAGGGGCACAAAGCGAAGACACCAGAGAAGAAGCCCCAACATGAGGGAACAACATGGTAGGACATAAGACACGAACAATAACAAGCGCAATCCATATGAACAGCAGGGCGATGACAGGGAGAAGGGAGGAGGCGGAAGATGAGGTGTAGGACGACACGGATAAGGAACCGATCGAAAGGGTGAGAGGAGGATGAGCAGCAGCAGGAACCTGCTACAGGATGTGCTGCTGCACCTACTAGAAGCCGCCTCAAGCGTGCAACCTTGGAGACCCTGCATCAACTCGAAACATGAGTCCTGAACCGCATGCTCGATGAGCTACGTTCCAATCGATTGCTTGAGGTGCTCGACAGACTCATCCACGTGCGAGAGGGGATGCGTTCTCGACGTCGGCGCTGTGCGCAGAGGCGACAGCGGGAAACAAGGCCTCTCCAGGGCCTTTGCCGAAATCGGTGCGCTCCCTCACAAAACGCCCACGTGCATTGTTTTCCCTATACCCGCTTCGAGCACTGCAGGATAATCTTGCTGGCGCCAACCAGACCGCCCCGCTGACTCCGCTGACAAAGTGAGACTGCCCATTGCATATCCGAGGCAGCCGCGGTAGAGCTCCTCGTGCACAGGATGAAGTTCCCAGACCCTACGATTCGGAACACCTCGCCATGCTCTGCCTCTTTGGGCCCTCACCAGGCCAAGGGCCGTCGAAGTCGGCATCGGACACAAACGCCATTCCAGGGAAAAGGTGGAGACTTCCGGGGACATCGTATACTTTGTTGTTGTTTTGTTGTTTTCGTTCGTCCTTCTCTACAGCATGAAACAATCAGGAATATCGGATCTCTCGGCTATGAAAGGCCTGATCATGCAGCTCCACGCCAAGCGCCTCCTGGCTCTACTCGAACTCTTGCGTCTGCCAGCTGGGGTGGCGCACGACTCTCTCAGTAAGGCACGAACTCCCTGCGGCCAGGCCGCAACCCCAAAGCGAACCCGTATATCGGGACTGGTCTGCGATGTTGCATTGCGTACTTCGCTTAGCTTACCGCCCCTGCGGGCGAAAACGTTCTCTGCAGGCCCACAGCCACGAAACGGTGCCTTGGCAGTTGGCGCCCCAGGCTTACAGCCCAGGCCGGCAGTCGACGCAATGGCCTTCTACGCATCCTCTGACGTTGGTGGTTCTGTCTGCATTTGGCCCGGCTGACGCATGGCCCTTATTTTTTGTTCTACCCCCTGCGGCTCCCACTGTAGTAATGACAGCCTTTTCGTGCTCGCTCCACTCAATCCTGCGCCGGGGGGCCTGCTCTGCCGCCCACATCACGCTGAGGCGACCGATGAAGACCCCCAGTCCGAACAGAGCGTGCGTGCGCCCTGAAGAGAATGCTCAACTCCCAATGCCTTGGCCCTGTAGGTGATCGTTCTGGCTCTCTTGGTTCTGTCGCCAAGATACCCGCGCGTGTCTTCAAAGGTTCTATCATCGGTGGGCTTCATGCTGCTCGCTCTCGGACGAGAACATGGTTGGGATTGCGGTGCGATGAGGACGAGGATGATGGTGGCGATGATGGGGGAAGGACATCGGGATGAGGAGGAGGAGGAGTGACTCTTGCGGGGCCCGTGCTCGTCCAGCGCCACAGGATCTCCCGAGCGGCGGAAGACGGCGTCGCCACGGCGCTGGGCCCGTCGTCCGCACCAGATTCTGCGCGCGATGCATGCCGACGGCCAGCGCGCAGCGCCGAGCAGTGCGCACCAGCGAAGGCTCGCTGGAAGAATGATTGGAGGGGCCCTGGGACACACAAATAAATAGACACAAATAACAAGATCCCCTATATGTTCTCATATTTTCTGGGTTCTTGTCTTCCCCCCCACTTCCCAGATTTTCCAATATTTTCTGGGGAATCGAGGATTAATTGTGTCTGTGTGTTTTTTCCCCTCCTGAGATCTGGACGTGCTTGAGGATGAAGAGGATGTGGGAGGCGGATGGGGGACGCAGGAGACGGGCAAGAAGAGAGGCACGACTTGATGCACCGCTCCGCAGGGTGGTCCACAACTCTTGGCCCATGCTGCGCTCCCTGGTGACCTCGGCCTCGCCGTCATCCGTGCTGTCCTGTGGGAAGGGGGCCACCGCCGAGCTGCGAGAACCCCCCAGGGGCTTCGGCCGAGAGGCAAGGGGGGGGGTATGAGGGAAGTGGGCAGAGGATCTTGAATTTCAAGTCCTGTTCGCCAGATCTTGGACAGGGAGCCGCATTGGCAAATAAGATGATAACCTAAACGCTATCGGTCGAATGAACACCAGCAGACGAGGAGCACGTGCCACGAGATCTCGCGAGTCAACCTCCAGGTAATCGGCCACAGAAGCTCGCATGCGCCATCAAGTCCGCCTGGGCATGGGTTGCCTCACGAGCACGCTCGGGGCTGACGGGGAGAGAAGGGACGGGGGACGGGAGGGGGTCAAGCGCGGGGCAAGGAGGACATGCTAACATATGGCACCCTCCCCTCTCTGCCTCCCCCTCTCTTCGAGACCGGCTCGAGCGTGCCAAAAGACCATACCCGCAAACTCACCATCGAGGACCTGCGACGTCCGTCTCCGGAGCTCTCGGCCCCATCGCCGGGACGGCGTTAATTCGTTTTGGATCGTTCTCTGACGGTCCTTTGACGCGAGAGCAACCCCCAAATGCCCAAAGGATCCCCCGAACAGTCCGTCGTGCTTCTTTCTCGTCGCCTGGAGGTCCAGGAACACTCCCCTAGCCTTGCCTCCCTCCTCCCTGAGATCGCTGGAAGCCCCAGTGTTTGACAGCCCAGGGGCCTGAAACTGGCGCCTGGAAACCATTTTGGGAAAAAATGTAGTGCGGTGATCCACCCCATCCGTCCCCCGCACGAGCCCCGGTAAAGAAAAATGCGGGCAGCATGGTTTGGTCGATGTTGCAATCCTTCTCAAGACAACAAGAATGCGGGCCAGAAGCCCCTTCTCAAGACAACAGTAATGCGGGCCACAAGCGCGCTAGCAGGCGCGAAAGGTAAACATTGAAACATAAACATCATGCGTCTTTGAGGTACTTCAACACCGACATCTTCAGTAACACATGAATATTCTGGCCTTCCGCTGGCGCAACCGCCATCGTTTTACTTCTGCCGGCTCCACCGCCTTTTGCGACAAGGGGGGATATCAAGTTTCCAGCTCCACGAAACCAGGCTCCTCTCGCGAGCGTCCACGATTTGCGGGCCCGATCTGAAACAGAATCCTCGAACGATACCGGCCGATTCAGCAACCAGTTCGGATCCTTTGCCCCGCTTCACCCTGGACCATCCTGGGGCCACTTTTCATTCTGTCCCAGCGATTGCTCAGCCGATGCTCGATCTATCGAACCCGCGCAGACGGGAGCGGAATCAAGCCGCAACCTGCTGGGCGACCTCCGGTCCACCCCGCCCGGGCCCCGTGCTGTACTGAGCGAAAGAGGGCCACGGAGCGCGTCGCTGCTCGCCCCAGCGAGGGCAGAGCAAGCCGACGGAGCAGGACGAGACGACGACTGCCCGAGCGTGGGCGCATCCTCAGATGCTCGTTCTGGGAACCTTCCTGGGTCCAATCGTTCCACTCATGGGTCGATTCTGCGTCGAACGTCCGCCGAATGGAGTCGAACTGGAGTCGCACTCTGGAGTCTAGCTGGAGTCGAGCTAGAGTCCAACTAGAGTCGAGCCGATCCGTTTATGAGGTGGCCCCAGAAACATCCTCCTAAGCGAAGCGCGCCAGAAGCGTGGCCAAGGTCCCCTGGTGATTTCCGGGTCACAACTCGAGCCTCCGGCGGCTGTCCAGGACGAGCTGGGCACCACCTGGAGTCGCTCATGACGCGGCTGGAATGCCGCCGGGCACATCGGTGAAACCGCCCGAAAACCATGAGCCTCGAACTCAAACCGGTGTGACACAACAAAGAGAAGCGTGATAGAACACGAGTGTTCGGAGCACAGCAGGTCTGACACTCGCTTCGTCGACGCAGGCGCGCCAGGCCCCCCCCCCGCGACGGCGACGACGAGAGGGGCGAGCAGCCCAGGGGCGGGCATCACACGTGCTCGCCCGGGGAGACTCCGCCCGAAGACCTGGCACGCCTGTGTTGCTCTCCAGCTGGGCTCTCCGCCCCTGCCGTCGCCTCATGGCCCCCCGCGACGGCGACGGCGATATGGGCCCCGGCCGGCGCGTCCGCTTCGTCGCTGTCCGGCTCCCGCGGCCTCGGCTCCTCGTACGGCGTCCACTCCTCCTGGCGCGCCACGGGGCGCGGAGGGAGCGGGGAGAGCCGAACGCGCTCGGCGCCTCTCTCGCCGCAGGCGGAGGGAGCCCCGCGGGGCACGTGCTGCATCGGGGGGGGGCCTGGGAGAGGAGGAGGAGGGAGGAGGAGGGAGGAGGGAGGAGGAGGAGGAGGGAGGAGGAGGAGGGAGGAGGAGGAGGAGGAGGAAGAGGAGGAGGGAGGAGGAGGAGGGAGGAGGAGGCCTCCGGCGGGACCCCGCATTCAGGTGAGATCCACGTCGGAGTCACGTCGGGTGCCCATCGGAGTGCGTCTGATCTCCGTCGGGTTCACGTCGGGATTGCGTCGGGCTTGCGTCGGAACGTCGCCGCGCGCACGGCGTCCCGGATCTTCACGGAGCGGACGTGTGGACCGGAGGATAGAAATATTGCGCACGGCGCGAGGCCTGTTCAAGCCTGTCCAGGATTTGTCTTACAGCATGTTCAGGGATCACGCCCTGAGATCACCGACACTGCAGCGCTCGGAAGGAGTCAACCTGGGAGTGAACATGCACTAGGCGAACACGCAGAACTTGTAAAACAAGTGTTGGCGACTGTCGTAGTAAGTGTACCAGTACGCAACATGCACGATTCAGAACTATTGCTGGCTAGCATGATATCGCGACTGCTAGTCAAGTAGGAGCCGTCGCAAGTGTAGCGATGCAGCAACAACCCATATCACTGGAGATACGATTGTTGGCGCAACGATGTGTTTGATTGCGATGCGCGTTGGCCATCGCCCATGGTACCAATCACACCCGCACCGGCAAGGGTAGTATCATATATAGCCAGGACCGCAGCTACCACAAACCCTACAATTATGTGGTGTAGTAGTGACGGCAATAGCGGGAAGGGTGACACAATCAGGTCGGCACTCCGAGCTCAAACTTAGCCGGGATATGGGATTCCTTCCCACTGCTACTTCCTTCCGCAGTTGAAAGCCAAGTTCCTCCTGTAACCTTGTCCTGGTGCTTCCTCGCCGCCATGGTCGGCAGACAGCAGCGCATGTACGCAGAACAAGCGCACAGCGCTTCTGATATATCCCTGACAGCGGTGGTGACCGGAGCGAGGACACACTTTATATCCCACCGATACCTTCCTGCTTGGATCCTGCTCGGATCCTGCTCCCTGTCGCGTCAGCCAAGAGGAGATGATTCCAGGCGCTGTCCCCAGGTCTCCTCCTCCTCCTCCTCCTCCTCCTCCTCCTCCTCCCCCGCCCAACTTCGAACATCGCGCCCCTCGCTGCGCGACGCGCGGTTACTCTCCGCGTCCTCGCGCCGACCCGCCCTGGAGAGAGGCGCCTTCCCGGCCCAAGCCGCGAGGCGCGGAGCGCGACCGTCTTCGCGCCCCTGGGGGGGATCCAGCTGCCGGCCCCCGGCTCAGGACGGTCGGCGGCGAGCTAAGGGGGGAAATGAGAAGGAGAAGGCCTTTCTCAGAAGGCGGCAGGACTTCTCAGAAGCCCTCGCACCTTCTGAGAAGTTCTTTTCGGTCTTCGGGGAAGGCTCAGGAAAGTTCTCACAAAGCCAAAGGGACTTCCGAGCCTTCTGAGAAGGCCCGCCACTTCTCACTTCCCCCCCTCGCTCGCCGCCGAGACGGAGGACGGGCCTCGGACGGACCTTGACGGCACAGTCGGCCGAGGACGCTCCGAGCGCCCTCCGGCCGACGAGAGGAGCTCATGGCAGGGCCCCTGAGAGCTCCGGGAGAATCCGAGGAATCGCCCAGGGGGCCCTAGCTTTTCTGTCGAGGGCCTCATGAGACGTTGGCGAGCCAAAGGTGCCGTCGCCATGGGCCCTGATATCCCTCATGGCCCCTCAATCAGGGCCCCCCCCCATCCAGGCCCCCCTCCAATCCCTGCGAGGTCAAACAGAGTTTCAAACGCATGATTTTTCAGTCTGTCTCGCCTGCCATATTTTTTACGATCCTGACGCAGTGGGTGAGCCTCGCAAGTCGCCGATTGCCCCGCCCTGAGGATCCCAAGAACGCTCGCGGGGGTTCCCAGGAAATGGACAGCAGACCCCCAAGACGAACCCCAGGACGGCTCGGAAGGCCCGCAGACGCTCCCCGACGCGCTAAGATACTCCACACAGGCCCTACGGAGGGCTCCCAAGAGGCCGAGAGAACGCGAGAGGCCCCAGCACGGCTCCAAGGCAGCCCCGAGGGCCCCACGAGCCATCCAGGAAGCCCCCCACCCCCGAGGCCCCCCCCCCCCCCCCCGGAGGCAAGGCTCCAAGACGCCCCAAGAGATCCCCCCGGGCCCCAATAGCCATTCCTGTTCTCTCTCTGGCACCATCCACAACTATCGATGTTGCCCCAGCTAGCCTTAGCTGCGTGCCGTTCGCATCGCATCTCATCCTTTCTCCCTCTCTCTTCCGCCTTCCCCTCCAGACACCCGACGCCGCGAACCTGTCACAACGCGGCTCCCCAGAGGTCTGCTGCTGGGGAAAGGCTTCTCCCCCAGAGGCCGCAAGGTCCAGTGAGGGCCTTCGGATGCCTGAAGCAGCCAACAACCTTCCGTCGCAACTTAGTGTTTCCATGACGCGAGGATGTCAGGGCCTCCCCCCCCCCTCGGACCTTCTCGTTCCCAGCCCCTCCACCTCTCTCGGGACCGGAAGCGGGGCCCTCCTTAATGTGCAGGCTGCCGCCAAATCAGCAAGGCCGCACGTCGGCGCGCGGCACGCGTGCTGCCTCCAGCATCCTCGCAGGTCTAGCGTTGAGTCGGCCATGCCCCTCTACATGAGGACTGTTGAAGAATGGCAACAATAGTCTGGGAACGATGTTCGCGCTGTGTTGCCTGTTTTTGACGATTGTTTGACAATGTTTTCTTTTCAAGCGCACCCAAAAGGGGGTCCAACTGAAAGGGGGTGGTGCTATAGATTTGGGGCAATTGTATTGCACATGTACTGCGCCGTAGACTTGTATTGCATTGTATTGCAAGTGAAGTATTGCACGCGAACATCCAGCAATACATTTGCGTCCTGGAATGTACTGCACGCTCCAAATGTATTACAACCCCACAAATATTTTGCACCACATCTATTGCACCACCCCCCTCGTCGCTGGACCCCCTTGGGGTCGACCCGATCTTCGTCCTTCAGAGTCCGCCTGCAGGAGGACATGCCCGACGGAAGTCTAGCGCACGCATCCCTGCCCTCTGAGGTCCGGGTCCGTGGCTCTACTGGGCATACCCCGAGGAGTTGCTGGACTGCGCGAGGTCTCACGAGCCCCCCCCTGGGAGGCTCGTGAGACATTAAAAAAAAGTAATAAGCAGAAGCTTTCGATTGTATGGAAGCGTCGAGAGCATCGAGTCCCTCTGAAATCGAAGCAGCAACCCTGGACTCGAAACATCGATTAAAACAGGCTCTGCCCCCCAGGAGGCTCGAGGCCCCGGCCCCATGGAATAGAAGCAGAACGCATGCCACAAACATTAACTTTCGCTGGTCCGCGCGGATCTCTTGGATCCGCGCTGGACCCCCGTCCCTGGCGCCCGGAGCGCGCCAGGGGCGGCGCTGGGGGCGCCGCCGGGGGGGCCCAGGCGCCGATCCAAGACATCCGCGCGGAGCGCCAAAAGTTTATATGTTTGTGGCGTTTTTCCTCGGCGGTGGACTAACCTCCCTGTAGTAAACCTTCCTTTCGTGAAAACGGCCTGGGACCGAAACCGGCGGACCTGGACCCGCAAAAATGACGGCCGCGACGCCCGCTCGCGAACCGAAAACGGCCCATTCGCGAATCGACGCGTCAGGGTAGGAGGTCTGTCCACCCCCGATTTTTTCCTTCTTCGACAGCAGGGCTTCGGGGAGCAGATTGGCGGATCTTCTCCGCAAGGTCGCAGGGGGACGGGGACCCCCCGCTGGCCCCCGCAGGGAGCGGCCGCGCCTCCGGCCCCTCGTCCTCGCCAGACTCGTCCTCGCGCCACTGCTCCCACCTGGCCTCGGGCGGCACTGCTTGTCGTCGTCGGCGTCGTCGTCATCGTCGAGCCCAGTGGCTTTTCCGCCCTCCCTGCAAAACTTAGGTCGGGCATGTCCTCCTACAGAGGGATTTTGGACGACAAATTCAAAATAGCAGAAATACATTCAAAAATGGCCAAACATGGATTACAAAAATCGTGCCCAGACTATTTTTTACTATTTTTGAACATTCCCCCTGTAGAGGGACAGGTCCGACTTAATGCAAAGCGCAGCTTCTCCTTTGGCACGTTTAAGTTCAGGAAATGTAGCATCACCTCCTTCTGCGTAGATGTTGCTAATTACGGTCGTGCGAAGCAAATTTCCCAAACGGGCGCGGCGATGGCAACATTCTCATGCAGCGAAATGTCTACCCTGAACAATAGGAGTAGAGGATATGCCCTGACGGGTGGAACGAGAAGGTTCGCGACGAAAACTCGGAACGGCCCTAGACATGGGCGCGCCGAGACGGTCGTAGAAACAAGCGCCACGTGTTCTCTGCCTTCGTCTCACACGTCAGCGAGGCATACATGACATGTAGCAGTACCATTTACCGAGCTGATGGGATGGATCGCAGTACAGAAAACACCCAGAACTGGGACGTCAAGTCGATGAAGATCCCGGCAAGACGCCCATGAACAACACATCTCCAGGTGTCGGCGCGCCAAGGGCAGCCTTCGGCCAGGAGCAAAACGACGCCGAGAGAGCAGGGAACGGCTGCAGAATCCCGCGCCCGCACCCCCAGAGCCGAAACACTAACAAACGATGCACCGAACAAGTCATGGGTCGAAAATCGGCGACGCCTCGGGAGACGCCGTGGATGGAGAAGCCCCTCCCCAGAGGCCCGAACTGGCCAGGATCCGCTGCTGGTCCTGGTGCCCACCTTCCCCATCGCTCACTCGCATCGGCGGTCGGGTCGTCCTTGCATGCTGCCACGACCATGCACTGCGCCGACACTCCAGGCCCCCGCGCTTCCGGCGCCCGCGCGTCCCAGCCGTCCCCACCCCCGCCTCGGCCCTGCCCGGAGAAGCCCCCTCCCCGGGGTGATACCATCTCTCTCCCCCTGGAGACGCTCCAAAGCGGGGCCTCGGCGACGGAACTGCAGGCCGCGCCTCCTCAGCACACGCCGCACGTCACGGGGCAGAAAACCTTCGCGGTGGCGTCGGCGACGACCCTCTCGCGGCGCCCGCGGAGCTGCGCCGACGGTTGCTCGCCCCCGCCGCTGCAGACCAGGTCCCGCGTGGTCTTCCCGGCCTCGATCGCGAACCTGTAGATCTCGCATCCGTCGCCGTCCGCGTCCCGCCAGTGCGGGTCATCCGCGCAGGCGTGGCCTCTCTCCCTCTCGAGCTCGAGCCGCTCCAGCTGGTACGCTACCGTCTCGTTGTGCAGGACGCGGTCCTCGGCCGAGATCCTCGAGCGGTGCTCGCCCAGGTGGCTCAGCCAGGAGGCCGCCGACTTCGGCGGCTCCTCGGACGAGCTGACTTCCACCTGAGCGACGAAGAGGAGCTGGTCTTACGCGAGATGGCGCAGCGACCTGACGCGGTGGCCCACGAGGGCCGCCCGCGCGGCACGCCACACTTGACACGAGGGGCGCCCCCGCGCGACCTGGCGCGAGCTGGGCGCGAACTACCGGGAGGCGGTGCGCGGGGGGAAAGGTGCCCCTGTCAGGCCCGGAAGACCCCCTGGGGGGCCTCAAGGGGCTCCTTGGGGGGCCCTCAGGGGCTCTTTCTCGGCAGCCCTCGCTGCCCTCCCTATATATCTATATATATATATATATCTATATATATATATATATATATTACATCTATATTCCTCTTCCAATATGTTTACAAGCCCGGGGGGAGGGGGAAACCATCACCCCCCCCCCCAAAAAAAAAACTGGACCCCCGGGATTTGGGGTTCTCAGGCTCCCTTGGACGTCCTTGGAAAAGGTCACCCGGCTTTCCGGGTCTCCACAAACGCCTTGCCAGCAGACCCCGAGCGACCCGAGGAATCATCAGAAAGGCCCAAGGGAGGCCCCAGACAGCACAAGAGCGCTCCAAGAGGGACTCCAATTGCGTCAGGACGGCCCAGAAGACCCCCAAGGCACCCCAAAAAGCTTCCCAAGGGGCCTTCAAAGCACAAAAATCGCTCCATTCCCTTCGTAAATCATTCGCCTTTCGGATTTCATCCGCTTTCAAGACGGCTTCAAAGCCCCCGAGATCGCCTCACAAGACGCCCCAAAAGGCCCCCAAGAAAGCTTCAAGACGGCCGAGCCGGCCCCCACGATCGCTCACGAGAGCCCCAAGCCAGCCCATAATGGAACCAAGAGGCCCCCCAAGGGCTCCCAGCACAGACCCAAAAGGGCAATGGGAGGTCCCCGGAAGTGCCCAAGATGGGTCCAAAGGGGGCTCCAGCGGGCCCAAGCTCTCCAAGACGGCCCAAGAAGGCCCCAGGACGGCCCATGGCGGCGCCAAAACGGCCCACGAGGGCCCAGAAAACACCCCCACGATGTTCCCGAATGCCAACATAAAGACCCCCAAGGCACCCCAAAAAGCTTTCCAAAGGGGCCTTCAAAACACACAAATCGCCCCATTCCCTTCGTAAGTCTTACAATTCTAGCGTATTCGCCTTTCGGATTTCAACTTTCAAGACGGCTTCAAAGCCCCCGAGATCGCCTCACAAAATTCCCCAAAAGGCTCCCAAGAAAGCTTCAAGACGGCCGAGCCGGGCCCCACGATCGCCCACGAGAGCCCCAAGACAGCCCATAATGGAACCAAGAGGCCCCCCAAGGGCTCCAAGCACAGACCCAAAAGGGCCATGGGAGGTCCCCGGAAGTGCCCAAGATGGGTCCAAAGGGGGCTCCAAGACGGCCCAAGAAGGCCCCAGGGCGGCCCATGGCGGCGCCAAAACGGCCCACGAGGGCCCAGAAAACACCCCAACGATGTTTTCGAATGCTAACATTCATGGATTTTGCTCCCATGACATTTCACATTGTGACCCAGTCGTTGAGGGTCTCGTGGCATGCAGCGAAAATGCCAGAGGATGCCCCGTACGAGTTGCATATAAATGTTCATACCCTTACACATACATTTATATATACAGATGTACGCTCTATACACACAACAATGTTAGTATAGTGTATGCACCTAGACATTTTTACGGAACGTGCATGCGCGTGCGCGTGTATACATGCATGCGCGCATGTACGCCCGCACGCATTCCGCTTGCGCGCAGAACTCAAAGGGCCAAGGTGCATGGCGCGCAGCGCCAATGCAGTCTTGTATATATATATATATATATATACATATATATATATATATATATAATATCGCCCCCACACCCCGCGCCCCCCGAAGCGGGCGACGTCTGCGCCAATCCGGCACAGACGACACCGCTCTCCTTCGCCGCCCGCCTGCAGGAAGGCCACGTCGTCTCCCAGGGGCTCCGCTGCGGCGCGCGGCTGGGGCTCGGGCGCCCGGCACGTGCCGCAGGTGGCTGGGCAGAAGACCTTGGCCGTGGCGTCCGCGGCCACCCGGACGCCACGGAGCCCCCGGGTCGATGGCGTCTGGCCGCCGCCGCCGCAGGCGATCTCCCTCGTCATCTTCCCCGACTCGATGGCGAACCTGTAGATCTCGCAGCCGTCGCCGTCGCTGTCCCGCCACTGCGGGTCGTCGTCGCAGGCGCCGGCGCCGATCTTGGCGAGCTGCGCGGCGACCGTGGCGTTGTCTAGGACCCTCTCCTCGGCGGAGATGTGGGTCTTGCGCGTCCCTCGGATGGAGTCGCTCCAGTGTTCGAGCCACTCCTGGACTGTGTTCTTGTGCATTCCCTCCATGGGCGTCGCCTCCTCCTGCAGCAGTGCCAGCTCGTCGAAGCCGTCACCCAGCGTCTCCGCCGCCAGATCCGCAGAGGGGCCCTGCCCGCAGGCGACCGCCTCCTCTAGCGGGATCTTCGGCGCCGACGGGCCCTCCGAGACGGAAGGCGTGGTGGCGTCTGGCTTCTGCTCCGCCTGGAAGCCGCGCAGGCGTGCGTCCGCGAGGGGAGCGAGTAGGAGGGCAAAACGGACGAGCATCTTGTAGCTCATGGGTCAAAACTAAGGTAAGTTATGTTGCGCCTAGGGACGATGGTTAGAACGTGAGCGACTCGCGAAAGGGCGCGGGTCTGAGCCCTGAGCCCAGCTGGCTACGGAATCCCTGACTTTCCCGTGCTCCCCGCACCCGCGCCCTCTTGGTCGCAACCGCAGCAGCAGAGTCTGAGGTCGTCTGAGACTGCCAGATACCAGAACCAAACTACCTGACACACAAAATCTTCGGACGTCCGCGCGGATCTCATTGCGTCGGCGTTGGACCCCCGCCGCACTCAATCTCTGGCGCGCTCCTGGCGCATGCGGCGCCGTCCACGGCGCGCTCCACGCGCCATGGGCGGCACACACATCCATCCATCCATTCATCCGTCCATCCATCCTCGCAACGCCTCTTGCATGCCCCCTTATCAGAAAGAGGGGGCCGAGGACAGGGGGCGAAGCCCTTACGGATATATGTCTAGATACAGATGTGTACACATGCATATACATACGTAGAACGAAAAGTATGTATGCCAACAACCATGTATGCATGCACGTATCAACGTACGTATGTATGTATGTGTGTATATATGTACAGATATACACATGCGCACACACACATACAGACATACATACCTACATGCATAATTGCACGCATGGGAACTTAGCCACATGCACGAATGCATGAACGCATGCATAAATACATACGAACATGCGCGCATACATACACACAAACACCGATACATACATGCAACCATACATACATACATGCATACATACAAACACACACATACTTACTAACATACATACGTACAGTCATGCATGCAAACACGCGCACACATACATGCACACACACGTGCATGCATAACATCACATGTACACACATACATGCGTACACACAAACATACGCACACACATACACGCATACATCCAAGCGCACACATACGTACATGCAACCATCCATACATACATACACACATAGCACACAAACAGACACAACTATTTATAAACGTAGATACAAACATACGGGCTCACACCGGTCCATACATACAGACATGCATCCATACACACATACATATACACATATACACGTACACATACATCCACACAGACAGACAAACATACATACGTACATGCACACACATGCAATGGCACAACTATACGTCCACACACATTCATGAGTCCATATCCATAGGTACACACATGCATACGTACGTACATGCCTACACACATACATGCGCACATACATACATACACACATACACACATACATACGTGCACACATGCACGCATACAAACGTACACACATGCATACGCTTGCGTGTATATATGAATACACATGATGAATCTGCAAATATGTATATAGATGCTCAGATGCATAGATATACGGATGCATATGTATAGACATGTCGTTATGTGTGCACATGTATATTTATACATGCATCAAAAACGATTCCAGTTCTATGCACTTACAGCATATATATATATATACATGTAAATGTATGTATGTATGTATGTATGTATGTATGTATGTATATGTGTGTATATGTCTATATGTGCGTATCCTCCGCGCGTGTCCTTTGGCCCGTTACCTGATTCCCTACGCACTCGTGAGAAGTCTGTTCGGGGCCCAGAACCCACATTGCCAATTCTTCTTTGGCTTCTCGCGTGCCCACTTGGGTTCCCGGCGTATTCTCGCATAAATTGTTCGGGGCCCAGAGGACGGGCCAAGAGGGCCCAAAGAGGCCCCCAAAACGGTCCAAGAAGAAACCGAGTCGCCGAACGATCGCACCAAGAAGCCCAAGATGGTCCCAAGACGGCTCAATATACCTCCAAGACTCCCTCACGAAAAGAGCCCCAAGAGCTTCCCCCAGAGGGCTCGGAGAGGCTCAAATCATGAGTTGCCCATATGTTCTGTCAATGATTTTGGGGTTCTCGACGTTTCTAGCTCCCGACGCTCGAGGACGGCCCAAGAGGCCCCCAGGACCGCCCCAAGGCGGCCCAAGAGGTCCCCAGGAGGCCCCATCACGGCCCCAGGGGGAACACAAACCGAAAATTCGAATCTTCCACCTCAGGAGGCCCCGGGGAGGCCCCAAGAGGCCCCAACGAGACCCCCCAAGAGGCCCCGACGACGCTTCAAGAAGCCCTAAAACGTCCCTCAAGAGGCCTCAAAACGACCCCCAAGCAGCCCAAGAGAAGCCTCTCGCGACATTTCAATACCCTGGAGGCCTACAACCCACAACCCAGGAACGGTGGCTGGATGGACCGAAGGCCATCATATATTCACACGCATATGTATAGATATATGTGCACACACATACACAAATCTGTTACATCTATGTATACACATGTATGTATGTAAATACACAGATATTCCCCAATCAGAGCTTGCCTCTGTAGGGGTCCTAGCGGATTCATATGGTTAGGTTCGGTTTGTCGCCGATTTTCGCGGCACGCCTGGGTGCCCGGGTGCCCGGGGGGGCCCGAGGCCCGGGTGCCCGGGGGGGGCCCGGGGGTGCCCGGGGGTGCCCGGGCGTGCCCGGGGGTGCCCTATAGCCCTATAGCCCTAAGCCCTATAGCCCTACAGCCCTACAACTCTATCCGCCTAGCCCTATCTATATATGTATATGTATATATATATATATAGCCCTGATTGGGCTTGCCTCCGGTATCATGTTACATATATGTGTACACATGTACATGTATGTAAAAATATATGTGTACACACATTGTTATGTGTACATGTTTACACATGTATGGTCACACAAAGCTACACATACACATATATATATATATATATATATGCGTGTATACGTGTAGACTAAACATGTAGACCTGTTCATTCAGGCATTATTCCACGCACCCGTTCATTCAACCATACACGCACTCATTAATACATACATACAAGCATACATACATTCATTCGTTCAACCATGCATATGCTCATAAAGCGACATAGATACATGCATGCATGCATACACACATACACACTTACATACATACAGCGATGCATGCATGCATACCTACATACGCACATACGTGCAAAGCCTTGCGTGTATGCGTGCATACATAAACACATACGTACGCGAATGTATACTCGTATATACATACATGTAGACATACCTACATGCATACACACACATCCAAACTCACATTCACATACATACATATATACATACATACATGCATGTATGCATGGAAACAGACATACAGACATGCATATGTACATGCCAGCATCCATATGTTTACGCATGCACACATACATGTAGACATGCAACCATACACGAAAGTATGCACATACATGCACCCATATCTCCACACATGCGTACATACATGCATACATACATTCATGTACGCATACATACATACATACATACATACATACATACATACACACATATATACATACATACACACATACATACGCGCACGTACATACACACATCCTGACATACACACATACATACATGCGTGCATGCATGTATACACACATCCATCCATCCATCCATCCATCCATCCATCCATCCATCCATCCATCCATACACACGTACAAACAAGCATACATACATACATACATACACAAGCATACATGCATACATACATAACAGACAGATGCACCCACCACCTCCCAAGGTCAAGAAAAATCGGATTCCCAGGCGGTGGATATGCACAAATCCCAGCCTCGGACTTAGGCCCCTCCCAATTGGAGGCGGCTCGGGGGCTTAAACTGGTTGGGATCTCAGGGAATTGGTCAGGGTGGGGGGGAAGAAGCCAAACTCGTTCGAAATCCGTACCCGGACCCCTCCGGAGGGGTCCGTTGGTGGCAATCTTCCGCCCCGGATGTGTTTTTTACGCCCCCGGGCCCGTAAACGGATCCTGGAGGTCGAACCAAAGGAAAAACCTTCCCGAACCCAGAACCTCGAACCCAGAACCCCGGAGGCCGATCAGAAGTAAAAACCCTTCCCGAACCCAGAACCTCGAACCTCTGCCCGCCCTTCCCGCTGGTCTGAACAAGTCCCCGGACACCGCAGACCCCCAGACGATGACGATGACGATGACGATGATGACGATGACGATGACGATGACGATGATGACGATGATGATAATGATGATGATGATGATGATGATGATGATGATGATGATGCTGACGATGATCGTCATCGTCGTCATCACAGCTCGTCATCATCGTCATCGATGACGATGACGATGACGATGATGACGATGCTGATGATGGTGATGACGATGATGATGATGACGTTGGTGATGATGATGAGGATGATGATCATAATGACGATGAGAATGATGATGATGATGATGATGATGATGATGATGATGATGATGATGATGATGGTGATGATGATGATGATGACGATGATGACGATGATCGTTCGCCCCTCGTCCCATGTCCATCTGTGACGGGCGCAGAGGGTGCCGGCGCCCAGCCTCTGGAGGCCGCAGGAGGGCGGACCCAAGCTCCGCCCCGACTCTTTCCCGAACCGCTAGGAGGAGAAGGAGGAGGAGGAGGTGGAGGAGGACGAGGACAAAGAGGAGGAGGAGGAAGGGGAGGAGGAGGAGGAGGAGGAGGAGGAGGAGGAGGAGGAGGAGGAGGACGAGGAGGAGGAGGAGGAGGAGGAGGAGGAGGACGAGGAGGGCCGCGAGTGCGCACCCTCCTGATCTGACAGGCATCCGACGGTGTGATGTCGTCGGGGCGCGGCCCCAAGAAGGCATCTCGGGCGGGCGACACGTTGGGGGCGACCCAAAGGAGGGGTGCCGAGGGGGGCCCCAGGAGGGACCCTCCGGGGCCCCTGCCGGCTCCAAGAGGGGCCCCAGGTGGCCCCATGCAGGGCCCTGCCCTCTCCTCCGTTCCCCCCCCCGTGGAGGTCTCCGCCCTCCTCCGCCCTCCTCCTCCGCCCTCCCTCCTCCTCCTCCTCCTCCTCCTCCTCCTCCTCCTCCTCCTCCTCCTCCTCCTCCTCATCCTCTTCCTCGTTGTCCTCCCCGCCCGCGTGCCCGGGGCTACACTT